AATAGTTACATTTGAGGAGAACAAGGAAAAAAAGGGAGGGGGAGGTGGGAATAGTTACATTTGAGGAGAATAAGGAAAAAAAGGGTGGGGTAGGTGGGAATAGTTACATTAGAGGAGAACAAGGAAAAAAGGAAGATGTATTATTTTTATATTGTTGTTATTTGTATATCTCTATTTTTTACTCTCAAACCATAATTGTCGCGTTCCTCCCTTCCTGTTATGAACTCCACCCCCCCACCCCCCCTCTAACTTTCCTTCCTCCCTTACCCTATTTACTCCCTGGCACCCCTATCCTTGTAGATGTAAATGAAGTCTGATCCTGCATATCTATATTGTTTAATATCTACATATATTTACAACTGCAAGAATAAATCTAGGTCATATTGTCTAGGGGAATAGGAACTTGTATTCATTACAATGAAGACGACAAAAATAATGAATACAATTTTGACGCGGCATTATTCCGCTTGACACAAAAAAATATGATACAGGTCGTTTTCCAAATCCAAATATTATGTTTTCAGTATCAACTACTTCATTAAAGCAACAATACCCAATATATCATCGTTAGAGGACAGCTTTAAAAAGATTAGGACCAACTAAGCTTAATGAATATTTTTTTGGAAATTGTGCATTTAACAATTTTTGTTTGATTGATAAATAATTATGAAGATATTTGAAATTAGTTAACCGCAAGATATTTCCTAAGATTAATCTCACAGTTTTAATTAGATAAAGGGAAATCGTCCTTGTATGGGATACAAGGTGTAATTGATAACTGCCTGGACTGTCAATCATAGCAATGCTACCTTATCCATAAACTATCTATCTATCTATACTTGTATCTGTCAATAAATTTATCTATTTATCTATCTATCGACACAAAAATCTAGCAGCTGTCTATAAGAATTGTATTTATGATGTATATCCTTGAAATTCAAGAATATACCCAATACAAACAGTCTGTCATATACATACATATATATATATATATATATAATCTACAATGAGATGTGTTGGTGACGACAAGTTGCGTGCGCTTAATTTTTTCAATTTAGAACAAATTGGTCTGTCACAGGAACTCTGCAAAAGCAAATTATTTAGCTTATTTTCTATTTAAAACAGGTGTAATGTCTGCACAACAATATAACCTAAACCCTGTCTTAAGTTATAGCTCGACAGTAACCAAAACATAAAGGCTTGCATAAAAAAAATTCAAAAGATAGTAAAATTAATGTTTGAATGACTAAGCACATAAATGTATAAAGATCAAAAGATAAATAAATGCATGTGGTTACGCATCAATACATGAATAGATAAAGTTACAGAAAGTTTAGGGTATAGAAAAGCACACATAATGTTCACTAATATTGTAAACAACAACTTAATACCTTATATCTTATTATTTTTTGTTAAAAATACCAGTTCCGCGCGCGAATGGGATGCGTCACATACTAAAATGCGTAGGTTATCCTTATCCTTCCATCCTCTTTCTAATATCACTAGATGCATTTAAACCTATATACGCATAGATACATAAGGGTGTAGATATGCAGATAGCTATATATATATATATATGAACAACAATCATCTATCTTCTTTTGCTCAAATATTTCAAATAATTGATATTGATGCATTGTATAATGCATACCGTATATATGTTTCCTTTACACGGTCAAACCTTCACTCATAGAGATGCAACTTTTCCCTTAGATCGATGGGACCAGAGACCTAATTACAAGTTACCCTCCATTTATATAGTAGCTTGTTGGACTCACAACGGTACCTTTAAAACCTTTACTTGATGCAAAAAAAGAGAAAATATTGTCATTTTTTATGTATCTTAAAGGGACAGACCGGCTATGTAAGGTAGTTGAACTGAGTATGCAGTGTTGTGGAATGCTTCTTTCGGATTCATTTGAGACATATAAAACTTTTTTGAGATCTGTAAATCCTGAGTTTGAGCGCAAATTCGACATTCAAAACTCCTACTTTGGGGGTGGATACGTTTTCAGAATTGGTTTTCTTTTAAATTACTAAATAACGACGACGAAAAATAAAGTAAAAATAATACAGTAATCTAATTAGATGGGTGGGAACATTTTTCTCAAAAGAAATTTGTCAATAAATCAATGCTAAAATCAATTATTTTGTTTTTATCATTTTATTGAATTTCTTATTTCTTTGAATTTATTCGCAGATTTCTTCAAATTCTTTAAATGTCTTTTCAATAATTTTTCCAGAAAATCTGCAGAAATTCTTTGTGAATAATGAGAAAGTAGAATAATGAGAAAATAGAAACTAATAATTGAACAAGATTACTTACTTTTGATAATAAGATTAATTTTATTTTCTCAACCTGTTCCTAAACAACTAATTAGTTTACTGTAGAATTTTGTTTACTTTTTCGTCGTCGTTATTTATTAATTTAACAAAGAAACGTTTCTGAAAACGTATCCATCCCCAAAGTAGGAGTTTTGAACGTCGAACTTAGGATCTTTAAAAAGTTTTATATGTCTTAAATGAATCCTAAAGAAGCTTTCCACAACACTGCATACTCAGTTCAACTATCTTACATAGCCGGTCTGTCCCTTTAAAATTGTTAAGTTCTGATAGTTTCCCTTTTATCTGTTTTGCGTAAATCCACAGCTGAAGTTTATAGAGAACCTCGGATTGAAAATGATCAATGCTGAGAAGGAAAATCACGTATATTTTACTCATGGTTAAATGTATGTACACCGTTCTGAATCGAACACATGCCACTCTTTGGTTGGAGCTGGGGGGGGGGGGGACTTAACAAGTTGAAATAAACGATTTCTCAGTTCTGACTTTGTATAATGTTTGAAACTATATCCAGCAATCATGGGCAGTTTTAAATCTTAAACCTGAGAACTCGGATAGAATAAATTATCCCTAATAAATCTATTAATATTATTAAAATGTAATACAAACTACTGCTCAAGGGTTCAATACTAAAATTGCAAATTACCTTTTTAGTATTAAATTTGTTCTGTCAGATGTTAGATGGTAATCCGTCAATCTGTCAATCAAACTGAACCCATGTCTGTTCGTTTATCCGTCTGTCTGTCTGTGTATGCATACAATCAAACCAAACATATTCAGATTTGGGGTGTAATCCATATTTTAAAATCTTTTTAAAGGAATTGTTCTTTGCCTCAAAGTCTGATTTTCTCATTCCTATATCTTTGCAACCGAAAGTCGTGTAGACCTTAGATATTTCAAACTATTGATTCTGCTAGACCAAATAATAAAAGGAATTGAGTCTTTGCCACAAATTCTGCTTTTCTAAACCCTATATCTATGGATTCCAATGTCGTAGACCTTAGATATTTCAAACTATGAATTCTGTTAGATCAAAAAACATAAGTTTGAAATATTAATGATTTACGACATTGGGTTTCAAAGAAATAGGGATTATAAATTCAGAGTTTGTGACAAAGACTCAATTCCTTTGAGTTGTTGGCAAAGAATCTTTCTATTATCTTAATTTTTTTCTTTTAAACATTTTCCCTGATTTCTTAAATTGTTAAAAAACCAGATATTCTGAATTAAACAATGAACTTTGAAGGAACCTTTCAATGAAATGCAATACTCCTAATTATTAAATTCGGAAAATCTTATATTTAGACTTTTTTAATTTTTATTCATAAAATAATGTTTAAAACATCAAATATCGACTAAAATTTCAAGAAAACGAAATCTTCAAAGTTTTTTTTTTATTTTGAAAATAGTTCCTTAAACTTCCTTTGACTATTTGGCTGTACTAGGTTTGACAATTTTAAGAAATAGAACATAATCATACACGCTTAAGTCATTTTATTATTTTTTTTTTAAACTCCTTAGCTCATTTCATGGAGTTATTCTTGGATATAATAATAATAATAGCTTATAATAACTTATTCTCGAACCATGTATCCTACTCAAGCCCCCCCCCGCCCCTTCCTCCTACAGGGTTTCCGAAAAAAAACATGAAAATTGAGAGACGACTTGAAATTCTTCCTTAATTTCTAATATTGAATGCATGGTAAAGAAAGTAAAAAAACGAGATTGTACGTCTAACGAGCTCTTCATAAAGAGGTCTATATATACACCTTTCTTGTATTTTAAAAATTGTCAAAGACATTAGATATTAAGACAATTTTGGTCAATTAAATAAATTGAAATTGCAACATCTCCGTCAATTTTGAAGGAAGATTAAAAAAATGGTAGACCACATTTTGAAAATCTCAAGACCAGTCGTTTTCTATATTAGATGTTTAAAGTGGAATACTGCAATAATTGTGTTTATGAAAAAAGGCCGCATGGATCAAAGACGATATAAAAGTTGTCAATCATTTCCCTTGTTTATTGGGACACCATGTGTATCTCTAGCATACATTAAATTTAAAAGAAATGAGTTAAGTTTAGAGGTTTGAATAACTTGTTTGGTAAAACCGTTGAACCAGGATCGCCGGTTTAAAACAAGCACAAGCTAACGGTCATTAACAATTGAAAAATTGAAAGAAAAAATCAGAAAATTATGTTTAAATCAACATCAAAAGGGGTTGTTTACCTTTTTAAAATTGGATATAAAACTTCATTTTTTTTCGAATTGACCAATAAGATTAGATTTACTTACTTTCTTTATTATCTTCTTTTAGCATTAAATAAAACTTATAAGAAGTATATGTAAGTAATTTGTACATATATTTATATTGTTGTATTGTATAGCGTGTTTGATATAAGATACATTTTATTCTACATATTTCTACATATTTATCTTTTTTAACCCAGTGTTCAATTAATTTGTTGAACACTTATTATACACATATTTCATAATTATAAATCATAAAATGATTAAAATTACAACAAAATTAATTAATTGAAAAATCTTAAAATATAGGACAAATATAACTAGCAAATTGAAACTTTTCTTACTTTAAAAGTATATAATAAATCAAAAAATTAAATCAATTTATTAAAGGTGATTTTATTTTCAGGATAACTGGTTTAGTATCACGTATACTAGTTCCAACACGACCAGATACTTCTCCTGTCAGAACTCCAGGGAGAGGGACGAGTGGATCACCAGTCTCAGGAATATACACATTTTAACACATTTAAAATACATTAAAACACATTTTAACACCTATAACACTTTTAAGCACATTGAAAATATCTTTGTAACCTGATGGTTGATATTTCAAACTTAGATTATTTTATCTAACAGAATCATTAGTTTTAAATATCAAGAATTTCGACATTGGGTTGCAGTAACATAAAGATTAGAAAATCAGAGATTGTGTTTAACCCAGTTATTTTGTAAACTGTTTCATTTTATTAAAATTGTGCCCTGAACGTTTTTCGTAATATTAAAATTTAACAAATAGAAGTTTTCCTGAGCCGATTGCAATCTTTTAAGTCTTGTTTGTTTCTCCGTAATAAAACTTCTAACCTTTAAAAAAATTCTGAGAAGCCATGTTTAAGATGTATCCATGAACCATATTGGCGTAGTAACCAGGAATTAGATATAGAATATGCAAACATGCTTTTTATCTAATAAAGGCTTTGGGTATGACTAAGAGCTTAAAGTGCAGAGCGGGGGGCGGGGATTTTTCAAAAATATATATTTAAAGGAATTGTCCACGTTTTAAGACATTTTCTTGCTCGGTTGGTCTTAGAAATTCTTGAGTAAAAAACGTTTTTGTATGTGATCTAATTTTCAATAGATAAACAAAGATATCTCCGTCATCGGCGTTTAATACGGTGTAATTGGAATTGTGCAGATAGTTTTTTTAGGTTCACTTGAAAGTACGTTGTTTCTAGCTTTCGAAAGGGATGGTTTCGCCTTTTTAGATTAATTTACATATTAATCCCTTTATCCCCCCCCCCCTCCCTGCCTCTTCTATTCAGATATTGTTTAAATCCTCCCATTGCTTAAGAATACAATATGCAGAGTTGAACAAACATTTTGAAAAAGTAAACAAACAAACACGACGTGTAAACATGTGTATATTGCTGCAGGAAAACCTTAACTCCGCTGGAAGATCGACGGAGGATGGAGAACAGTCTCAAAATATGGGTTTTTGAGATCAAAGGACTGTCGGAGAAGAAAAAATATTTCTGTGAAATTCATCTTGATGATAAAATTTACGCGAGAACGTCGAGCAAGAAAATGGCTGGAATGTGTTTCTGGGGAGAATATTTTAATTTCCCAGATCTTCCCAAAGTGGAGAAAATTACAATTCTCATCTACAAGGACAAAGGAAAGGTTCGGAGACAGCGGAAACCTGTCGGGCGCGTCAAGATCTGTGTTGCGAGCGTACTATCTCGTCGCGAGGTTGAGAAATGGTATCCTGTCGAAAAATCGTCGCGACGAGAGTCTCCTAGTATACGACTGAAGTGTCAGTTCCAAAGTATTGATGTACTACCACTTCAGGACTATGAGGAGCTTCTCAAATTCTTGACGGACGATTACAAGAGTTTGTGTCGGCTCCTGGAGCCCCATATATCCGTGAAGGTGAAGGAAGAGCTCTCCTACTCCCTGATGAACGTGTTCAAGATCCAGGATATTGCTGAGGACATCCTGGCGGATATTGTGGTTCATGAGATTGCGTCCAATGACAATGATACTTTGACATTCCGAGGAAACTCAATTGCAACCAAGGCTATGGAGACTTATGTTAAACTTGTGGGTGAGAAGTATCTTGAAGACACGTTGAGATCTACCTTGCATGATATCCTGAACAGTGAACTCGACCTAGAGGTCGACCCCATCAAGGTCAATAATCCTGACCTCTTGTATTCACACAGACAAGACCTCAGGAATATTGTTTCAATAGTTTGGAAACGTATTGCCAACTCACACAGTCTGTTCCCTGTTCCGCTCCAACGATGCTTTCATAAGATCCGACAGTTTCTAGAACAGGTTGGAAAAGCCGACATGGTTGATAAACTTGTCTCAAGCTGCCTCTTCCTTAGATACCTCTGTCCAGCCATCCTCGGTCCAAACCTCTTTAATATAACCGATGAGTACCCAAGTGAAAGATCTAACCGGAACTTGACTCTGATTGCAAAAACACTACAATCCCTTGCCAACTTTGCCCGGTATGAGGGTAAGGAGAACTCAATGGAGTTTATGAACGGGTTCCTGGATGATGAAATGCAGAATATGAAAACATTCCTCCAGCTTGTATCAAGTCCCCCTCCTGAGGACTGGATTCATGATCTCTCTGGGTTGAATGAGAAAGGAGATCTAGGAAAACATCTCTCCAACCTTCACACAATCCTTGTAGAGAATATCTGTAAGATCCCATCCGGTGGAAACCTCAACCTTCAGCATTTAAAATCCATCCTCAACAACATCAACAGCAACCTCCACCGTCCTTCAACCTCAACCCTTGATAATATCGCTGAACCCACCCCTGTAAAGATAAAGCGAATGTCGGTTGAGGATAAGTCTCCGGGTATACACAGCATCCAGAGCGTACAGAACATGAGTAGTGTGGGGAACGTAAGTCAGAACAATGTTATCTCCAACTGGATGTCCTGGACCCTGGGTCGAGGAGAGAAGAGATCAAAGGTGTGTGAGCCTATTCCTCAGCATAAACTAAAGAATACAACTCTAGGAAAACCAAGCTTCTATACCCCGGATGTAACTGAGTCCAGTTCCTCTTCTGCCTCTCTTACCCCTTCTCCCAAGTATTCAGCCAACCCAGGGCTCTGGACACACTCGCAACAAACTGGAGTTCGGAAAAATGCGCGAAGTGTGAGCAGTATTAGTATTATTGATGATTCAGATTCCGAGTCAAGTAGTGCTTCAAGTCATTATAGGACAGATGCACAAGGAAATCCTGCCCTGCAGTTCTCTACTCTACCCAGACCTAGAGTTGAGACAAAAACCCTCTCTGATTACGAGAGAGAAATCCACGGACTGCGATCCGCGATGGAATCCCTTCAACTTAAACTCCACGATGCTGAGAGGAAACTTCAATCTCAGCAGTGCTCCGGGTCTAGCTCAGGGAGTGAAAGAAGTACAACTTCACCCAGACATTCCCCAACCAAAGACGAATATATCCCTTTCTCTAAGAACGAGGAGGTGAAGGAAACCTTGGGAAGATTGTTAAAAGAAGAAGATCTGCTAAGACGAGATCAACAATCTCTAATTCATAAGATGGGAGACAAGGAACTAATGATCCTTCTCCAGCAGCGGAAAATAGCAGCCCTGGACGAGGCAAACAATAGACTGGTCTCCGAGTTATCTCGGCTAGGGGAGAAGGTTGGATATAGGCACAAGAAACCTATCCCTGATACTCCCAAGACTGTGGACGAACTACTGGATTCCTTTAATGATACTCCGGTATAACATGAATATACTGTAGTGTTTCCTTCAATCTTAGAGTTCATCTTTAGATTTGATCCGCTCCTAAATTAAGTTAAACCTTCCACACTACCCCCGCTCCGTTCAAATCTTCCGTGTTTTGCCAGAGTGTTGAAATCACTATAAAGTAGTTGACTGCAAGGTTACCTAGGTGAGGGGAGAGAGATTAAATCCTAGTCGGATGATAGATCGTCTATTTCCGATTTGTCTGTACTCCGTCTTTAAGATAGAACTGTGAATATCTTCAGGATCGTTCAGTTCTGGAAATTGATTTCGGCAATCAGAGATAAAGTTCATCATTGATCATCAAATCTCGGGAAATATTATTGAGAGATAGCAACCGATAAACATTTATACGCAGAGCTAAAACCCGGAAACGGAATCTGATCCACGAAACCCTTCTTCTCCAATGTTGGAGAGAACTGTATCCGGTTTCCACTAAAAGTTGGTATTTGAAAGATATAAAAATAGCGTTCTTTAAAACCATATTGTTGTGTAGATGATCTGACATACAATTGTATAATTGCCGACATATTGTGATTTCAAATTTTATATGATTTATAGCTTTTGTTATTGTTATTGGCTTTCTGCATATCATAGTCTATTCATAATATATTATGTGATATTTATGTAGAAATGTCTTTTGTTTTGCAGAGCTTAGATTCAACAATGTTAGCTAGGATTAGATAGTGAGAATAATATTAATCAGCTTGCAAATTTGAAACTTTTTCAAAAATTTGATAGGCCACATTTTTTTACCAATGTATTTTCATGGAAAAAATGCACCCAAAAGCTTTCCACGTTTTTTTTAAATTAAGAAACGAAAATATAGTTTTTTAATTGTTCGGAGGCATATCAAGAACTATATTTAAGAAATACTAAAAACCCATTTTGTGCATATAAAGATGCATATTTGATTTTTAAAATTTTGAATAGTGATGACCCAACAGAATTTCAAATTTCAAGTTTACGACACCAGGTTCTAAAGATATTAGGAATGAAAATTAGGGGTTTTCAGGCAAGTGTTATGTTGTATTCAAAAACTGAATTTGTCATGATACTTTTAATAAACTTGATTTTAATTAAGTTTAAAAAAAACTTAGTTACCAAAAAAAGCCGTGCATTGGAAGGAATATAAAAGATCAGTGATTGGTTGTTTGTTTTTTGCTCCCAAAACTTGCAGTACACTTTCTATACAAAGCTTTGGTATATATTTTTGTGTGTTATGTTAAAATGTTTAAGCTTCAAAGTGACTTTGATGTATTCTAAAGGCACGACCAGTTTACAAGATAGTTTCACGTTCTCAGAACAAATAAAGCCGTGAGTATGACGCCATTAGTTTGCGTTTTCATCTTTCTTTCTTTGAATATAAATGTACTTCGCGCCCTTCTTTCTAGCCTTAGAGGGCGCTTCGCGCCCATCTTCTAAATTAGTTGTGAACATGTTCTCTTTGTGTACATCGTAAAACAAAACAAAAAATAATTCGCGGATTTTCACAAAAAAATTCGCGGATTTTCAAAATTTTTAAAAATTTAATGACGATCGAATTTTGATGGAGACAAATATTTGAAATTTTGATTTTTCATAAACCTTCCTTGGGGTCCCTAGATGTCCCACAAAAAATTTGGGCCCGATCGGTTCAGCCGTTTTGACGTTTATTGGATACAAACAAACAGACAGACAAACAGACAAGCCAAATTTATATATAGATGTAAAGTGCATACTCAGGGTTCACTAAAATTAGAATTGATTGAGAACTAAAGACGACCTTTTCAATCCTTACAAGGGGAGGGGGGGGTAAATTTCCATCTATCCATGGATGTATTAAGTCATCCATGATCACCAAGCTCGCTGTAAAAAGTCCATTTCGTATCTTGTTCTTGGCTAAGTAACTTTTTGAGAAGCGTCTTAATTTAATGGTTTCATGTTCAGATTTAAAATTGAAAAAAATACAATTGTTTTTCGTACTTCACGAGATTGCACAGAACTTACAGTGGTCTCTATACAATTATGGAATGCATGGACAACTTTCAGATCATAGATTTTACTTTAAGTTTTGATAGCGTCAGCTTGGACCGGATTTTCAATCTATTAATAAAATAAACATCATTTCAACTACAAAAAGTACTTTTTAATAGTATTTTACATTATTCTATGCGAATATGGAGTCAAGTCATGTAATATGTTGTATATAATGGTTTAAAATATGTTATCCTATTTTATTTAAGAAGAGCATATTTTGAAGGTACAACAATAGGTATAAAACAATTCATATAAATTTTTATTTCTTATTACCTCGAGAAAATCAAAACCACTTGCTATATGCTCCTTACCAAAATATGTTGTTTTTCAGTTGTAGATTAAAAATATCTTATAAATGGGGGGTTGAATTTCCATCGTCCCATGGATGAATTAATTAAGGTTTGTATCATGCATGTACCATAAGGTTGCATAGATATAGGGATTAGAAAATATGAGTTTGTGGCAAAAACTCAATTCCTTTAATGTTTCAATGTCAATGGAAATTTAAAAATACAATCGTTTTTCGTACTACACGAGATTGGATATAACTTTTCAATTCTATTAAAAGAATAAACATTATTTCAACTACAAAAAAAGCGTCTCATTCTTTTTAGGTCACCTTCTACTCCACATTTTACTCCAGTAACAAATATTTATTTTTGTCGAACTTATTTTCCTCTGACAGAGCTTTAAAGTTCCAGTTTGATGTTGATATGGTTGAGCAGTGAACGTATATATAAACTCAGTGAAATGGAACAATTTCCCTTTCAACCCTAACGGTAACATCTTGCAGTCATGATCACTTAAAAAATTATGAAATATTTCTGATGAATGCAGATGCGTTGTCATGAGTTTTCTACGGGTCGAATACCAAAATGGACATGATTAAAAAACATACACATGCTTAAAAAGAGCAGGGGGGGGGGGCTTTACATGCCCCCTTCAAAATCATTTTCACCCCCCGAGAAATCCTTATTTAAAAAAACTATTTTCAATGATAACATATATATGCTAACATTACATATTTGGGCCGGGTTAAGGAACTGACATTCATTAATTTTCTAATCCCTTTATTTTTGTAACATGAGCTTTAGAATAGTGGATATCGGGATTAATGCTTGATCCACTCTTTTTCTTAATCTCCAGATTAAATATTGCTTGTTGTCCTCATGAATTTAATCTCCAGATTAATTAACAGATCGGGATTAAGGATATCACATTCTAAAGTCTTCAGCTCTGATAATGTAAATCTTTGATATTTCAAACTACAACTATATTTTTGATTTAGTTTTCTACGGAATGATCAGGATGATAATTTATTATCATTATTATAGCAAAATTCATAGTTTGAAATATGTAAGATCTATGACACATTGCAAAGATGTAATGCTAAGAGTTTATTACAAACTTAGAACCTAGTTTCCTAATTCAAATCATTCCAAAAATACGCAGGATTTGGAAATCGAAATGAAAAATTGGGGTTTTAAACTTAAACATTTAAGAAATTAACAATATCTAAGCTTTCCCACGTGGACATCTTAGGAAGAAAAACAAAAAATACTTTTTAAAAAATGGGTATAGCAAGAAAGCAAGCGGGCTCGAATTATAAACCAATTTTTTCAATTAAAACCTAAACTGAGATATAAGAAAGTTTTCATGTCTGTGTCGGGCGAATGAAAGGATCCAGACGTATTTGAAGAAAAGGAGGTGGATCAGTTATACAGGGTGGTCTAGTTGACAGCAGGGGTAGATCATGTTTTTTTGTTGATAGATGAGGAAAAGAGAAATCAACCAGGAAGAGGCTTTCAGAAGAGGAAATCAACATGGTATAGGGAATTTAACGATGAGGAGGAAATAATCAAAATGTAAGGAAGTTAATTTTACAGAGGAAATCAACGAAGAAGGGAAATCAATTAAAAGGAGAACATTGAAAAGGAACGGAACTGACCTTGAAAAAGAAATCAATTTAGATGGGAAATCAACTCATGAAGGAAATTAAATAGGAAGAGAATTCAATACTTAGAAGGGAAATCAACTAAAAGAATGAAACCAACCAGAAGGGGAAATCAACTAAAATAAGGAATTCAACTAGAAGGGGAAATCAATAAAAAAGGAGAAAATTTAATGGGAAGGGACATCATTTAGGAAGGATGTTTTTAAAAAGGAGGAATCAACTATAAAGATAATGGACATTTTCTAGGTGGGGTGTATCAACCACGACCATTGAGAAATTTTATGGAAAGGAAATTAATCAACCTGAAGGAAAAATAAACTAGGAGAAACGGAAAGGAGAAAAATTAACCAAGAGGAGAGATGAAAGGAGGAAAGGAACACTACATTCTGAGCTGAAAACTTTAGAATGGTGGATATCGAGATCAATGCTTGATCTCTTTTTCTTAATCTCCAGATTAAATAATGCTTGTTCTTCTCTTGTTATTAATCTCCAGATTAATAAATCCCATATCCCATTCTAAAGTTTTCAGCTCTATTTTTTTTCAAATCTATTAAATGTATAAACTTCTAAATAACTCTTAAGAGTTTTTAAATATCTTCTTCTTGGTTATGAATACATTTCACACAAATAAACTCATATTTCATCCTAATCAGATTCACTGAATACGCTGGAACATATTCAGGCTGAATCCAGTGAAACCATCGGCCTTGAAATGTCATTTAAGCATGCTCAACTTGAATTAAGAAGACAATGGTAACTGCTTGATATTCGCATGTCACATGACCTTGGTTCAAACCTAGGCAGATATATGTAAAGGCAGTAATAGAGGCATTAAAGGGACTGTTATTAGTTTAGTGATTCAGTTTTGCTGTTTGATGCACCTTAAGATATGTGTAACACAAGAAAAGTTCATTTTGAAAATTGCATTTTTTTTTGGGGGGGGGGGGCTTTTCCAAGCTAAAATCAGGATTAACTATATCTTGTATAAAATATCAATGATAATTTGCAAAATCTGCAAATAACTGAAATTGTTAGCAATTAATATTGTTGTCATTCTTTCCGCCTACCGAATATCAGTATAGAAAAAGGCCCAGAGTCCCTTTAAACAAAACAATGATTACGTTGTCTCTTAACTTTTAATCGTTATCATGCAAGAAAACTTAACTATTTGAATCTAGTTTCTCCTTTACCCCTGGGGTCAGAGTTGACGATGAATATATATTACCCAACCTGAGAGCTGGAAATCAATTAATCATGTGAAAATACGCCATATCCTTCCTTTAAACTAAACTTAAAGGGACTGTTGGCGTACTTTCTAGAGACTCTTTATTTACATAGTTGAATGCCAATATAATACTGTAGAGTGTACACTGTACAGAGATTTTATGACTGAACTCAGAGGAATAAACAGAAAAATAAGTTTTTATATAATTGTAATCTGTAATTCAGTATTTTTTAAGTAAAAGAGTATTGGTTATGTCTAACCCATTAAAAGGTTTAAATTTCCCTTCTTAAAGAAGCCTTTGCCGCCCCCCCCCCTCTCTGATTTACGTAAAAGTTCATTAATTAGATCAACCCCCACCACCACTTTATACACATACATATCAACAGTTTGTCTAAAATCTTCATGACAGAAACAATCTCAAGGAATCA